GACGTGATTTGATATCATCATCTTCATCAACGTCGTCATCATCATTTTATATTAGTGTTGGTGGTTGCAGTGGCTATTTTTGTGTAGAATATGTTTGCATATGTAATTTTAACGTCTGAAAAAAAAAAACTTTCTGTCCTGCAAGTGTAAACTTGGACTGCGTTAATTTGCGTAAATACATTTTACTTGCAAATGAACAGTTTATGTAGCTAGGTTTCAGTGTAGCGTCTAAATTTGTCAAATAAAAGGGCAACATAGGTTACGGATCCATAATGAAATTCTAGAGAAACAATTCGTTTAGTTAGCTTGATTTATTTATGAAAATGTATTTTATAGATTTGATCTCACTGACGCCAGTGTAAGTGCATTCAAAGTTAATAAGGCAGCTGCATAAGTAACACTCACACATGAAACAGTTTTTCAGATGAAAACCGAAGCATTAGTCCAACCACAAGACCAAATGAAGGCCAAAAACGTGTGATATTAAACTACTTATGTGAAACCTAATTGCAAGATAATGTAAAAGTACATAATAATGCATTATTACATTTGTTGATTTAAAGCCAACAGAATGTAAGCCATAACATGCACTTATTGACTTGTTTTATAAAACAAGATATTTAAAATACACTGTTTTAAAATAAGACTTCATATCTTATGTTAATTTAGCATTTCATGTAAATGAAAGGAAGGCTGTTTAGATATTTTACTGGAAAAAAGACACATACACTGCTTAAAATGCAGTATGGACTTTTTTTATTATTTATTTTTGCCAATGTTTTGAAAACATCTCAGCAAGCTTCAGATATAACTGAACAAAAATATATTCATAAAGCATGGACAAGAAAGTATAATCCCATTGCAAATTCATAAAACTTGTTAATTTCAAGCCAGTTTCTGTTTGCTCTTATTTTAAGATTATGAATAGATCTGTGTATATGAGTGTATTAATCAGTCTGCCATGAAATGCTTTTTTCTCTCTCACACCTTTAGAGGAAACTGCTGTATGCCCTTCCAGCATCTCCATGTGACCTCTGACCTTTGGGGAAGCTGTGAGTGACCTTTATCTTCGAATCTGCAAAAACTCAGTAGAGCAGTCAGACATGCTTGTAAATAATGTTAATGCAATTAAAAGTGCTTGCTAAATTGATTTTGCTTGACCATCATAATCTCCCTGATATACAAATATATCACAATCTACATGTTAAATTCTTATTTAACTCATGCACCTTTCATGCAGCTTCATGAACTTGAGGGGAGCTGACTTTATACATTCATTCAGAATCAGACTGTTGCTTACAAGTCAATGATAAAATGGCTTATAAAAGTCAAGCTCTAAATAGTAGGGTTAGATGTTTGCAAATGCCACCTGGATTGATATTTTGTTTCTTAATTAAATGCAGGCATTCATACTTTTAAAGGTGACATAAGGCCCATTCACGCCAAGAATGATACTACCAGGTAACTATAATTCTAAAAGTGATCAAACTCAACTCTAAAAGAATAGCAAGGACGCAGATATCTTTCAGCGTTAAAGAGTGAAACGTCCATTGGTGGACGCTATAGTTAATTATCATTGGCCTAGTTATCCTTAGTTATGGTTCTTGGTGTGAACGTGCCTTTAATGTCTAAATACGGTTTGAGCCACTGCTCGAGTTTAGTCACTGATTTTTGTTATAGCATCATGTTGATATAGCATGACAAATCCATATTAGGCTAAGGTACTTGCGCCGCTTTTACGCGTATGGTCATGACCTTCCCTCTCATCTTTGTTGCGTAAAGGCATGTGAACATTTCAAATGGGTGTTTTTGTTATAGCCGGTGCTCAGAGCTCACAGCTATTGTCTGTAGATACACCCTCGTTTAACAGGCAGCTCTGGATACCAGTCTACATGTGGAACGCATTTCTTATCGCCATCCAGTCCACTGCTAACTGCTCCCCGCTGCATCAGAACCGTCATTTCTGCTTTGAAACGAATAACAATGCAACAACAAAGGCCTCAGTTTTCTGTGATAAGCGCTAACATAAAGAAATTATCTAGCTACGGTAAAGGCTCATTTAGCCAGCAGTATCTGTGCGATTAGCAGAAATGACAGGTAGTGAGGGGATATTTGAGGAGATTTTAAATGAGTTCAGTGGCGGAGAGTCCGCTTCAGGTGGAATAATGTAGCCTACTTACTTCAAAGCTGCGGTGTAGGCGCTATTGGCAGAACTACAAAGGGACAGACTGATAAGAATAGTATTTTTACCCTTTTGTATCCTTCATATGTGTAGATGTAAATGCACTTTACTTTATGTATATTTAATAAAATTGCAACATTTGCCATTATTTCTTACATTGCTCCAAATATCATATTGCCCCAAAATTGATTTCGACACTTCAAAAATTTCTTAAAGAGGTCATATGATGCGATTTCATGTTTTCCTTTGTCTTCGGGGTGTTAAAAGCTGTTCGTGCATTCAGAAGATTTGTAAAGTCGCAAAGATTAAAGTCTCAAACTCAAAAATATATTCTTTATAAAAGTGAATGTTCAGCCACGCCTTCCTAAAACGGCTCGTTCAAACATGCCCCCACATGTCTACATCACTGTGTGGGAAGATTTGCATAACACCGCCCAAAGAAAGAAGGCATAACTTCGCCGCCATGTCGTGCAGACGCTGTTTCGTTGCGAAAGCCAAACTACTTTGTTACTACAACTACAAATCAGTGGTTACGTTTTATTTACAACACTGTTCCAGAACAGTACAACCCAAATATTCGAGTGTGTGGAGCGCATTTTATGGAGGAAAGTTTCCTAAACCTGGTAAGGGGCGTAACATTTCCGTCACACGCTTGAGGTATTCGGCCAATCACAACACACTAGATAGCTGGCCAATCAGAGCACACCGTGCTTTTCAGAACCTTGAGCTTTGTAAAAATTGACACATTTCAGAAAGGCTGGGCATAGAGGAGCAACAATAATGTACAGTATGTGGAAAAATGATGTTTTTTTAACCTTAAACCGCGTAGACACATTGCATTACACCAAATACACAAAATAATGTGACCCCTTTGATGTTTCCATTGGGCTAAATATTAAACCTAGTGGCATTTATTTAAAAAAAAGGAACACAAACAAACACCACAAAAGACATTTGTATGTTTTAAATAATGAAACAGTATATATACCGATGATAAGTATTTGGACAATGGCTTTCAAATGTTAGTGAAACATGTACGTTAGGCTAATCGTGGCTGTGTTGATATTCGTAAAAACATTTACTTTTAAACAACAAATAACGGTTGAATAAACAATAAGTTAATATCATGAACTTACATTTTAGACGCAAAATTTGCCAGTTATTTTGTATGGTTTCGCTCCGCCAACGAAAACAGCTCCAAATAAAGCCACAGCGGCTGTGATCCGAACAACATTCGTTAGTTCCCCGGTGAATTATTGCTTTTGAAAGAATCGGTTGAGTGAATGATTCAATGATTCACTCAAAAAAAGGCTGAATTGGAAATAACATACTACCATACTGTTCTTGCTATTTCTACAATTCCTTTATTTGCCAGAAATATGTTTGGGGGACTGGAACTAACTTAACATGTATACTTTAAAATATTTATAGTAGGCTACCAAGAGGCAAACAGATGATGCTTCAATTTTAGATTTTTAAGAAGTCTGTTACTCTCAAATTCACATAGGTGTAGCTTTTCACATTAACAATGAACATGTTCCACTAGTGTCACAATACTTATACTCATTACTCATAATACAACATTCATTTTAATCACTTATGTATCATTGTTTTATCATTAAAAAACATCTTTATGTGAAAAGTGTATTTTTTCTTTTAAATAAATACCACTTTCTGATACTTTGTTGCAACTGTAAACACTTTTATCTGTGACTAAAGTGTCCAAACACTTTTTTTGGAGCTACTGTAAGTTTAAACAATTATATTTTTCGGGGACATGAATGAAATGGCACTTGACCTTGTGGGCATTGAGGGTTTTGTATGCACAACATATCATCATATTTGAATAAACAATGCCATCTCTGGTTATCTGTTGTTGTTGGTTTTTTTTATCAATGTGTTTTGGATAAAACATTTTAGTGCATAATTGACACTTCATTTAGCATATTTAACTCAACCTTGCAATATAAAAACATTTACAGTTCAGTTCTCAGAGATCATTTGACTGAAATGCCAAATTCAATCCAAAAGCCTAAACGAACCATCTGAACAGAATGTACAGAAATATCGCTCAAATAATAAAATACATTTATTTATAATTTTTCCACAGGGCGTATGAAAATCTTGACTTAAAGGGTTAGTTCACCCAAAAATGAAAAATCTGTCATTAATTACTCACCCTCGTGTTGTTCCAAACCCGTAAGACCTTCGTTCATCTTTTGAACACAATTTAAGATATTTTTGATGAAATCTGAGTGCTCTCTGACCCTCCCATAGACAGCAAGGTAACTACCACGTTCAAGGTCCAGAAAAG